GAAGACGAAACAGAAAAAAAGCGGATCTCCCAGAGAGAGAGAGAGAGAGAGAGAGAGAGAGAGAGAGAGAGAGAGAGATCCACCATCGTTCCCCCTTGAAAGCCCATGGGCGGCCGGCTGTTGGTTCTGCAACCTACAGTATCGCCCAGCATCATGTTCAGTCTAAAGTTTCTAGAGTTACGCCACTGTCGGCATAATCTAGAACAGTTGGTTCTTGTAGATGAGGATCTTGACAGCACAGTCACGAAGAAAGATGAGTTGAAAACAACAACAACAACATCAATAATTACCACAAAAACAACAAGACAACAAATCGACATCTGTGGTGTAGTGGTTTGGCGCTTCACTGACGCACGCAGGAGACCGGAGTTTGATTCTCGAGTGAGGACAATTTTTATCGGGTTGTAAAGCCGTTTCCTAATTTATCTAAATTGTGTTCACAGGGGTGTAAAAACATTTTAAAACACACACACACACACACACACACACACACACACACACACACACACACACACACACACACACACACAAAACAGACGGTACCGGTGTACATCTCTGACGTCCCAACAAAATGGCGACCTCTCTCATAGGTAGAATTGTGAGCCATCATACGAGTTCTTTAGTAATATAACAAAAACAGAACTCTCATAGAATCATAATCCATCCCGTGTCTAGACAGCTCAGGTATAAAAACCCCCCAACAACCTCAGTTTTCTACTTGAGTCCGAAAAAGGAACGACATTTTTCAGTTCCATGATATGACACTCATTATCCGGTCGTCATCCATTCTCGATGATCCAGACCACTAACAACATAACAGATCTATATTTCCCTTCAGGAGAAAGGAAAAAAATACCTTCTATAAATGCTGCTTTTTCCCAGCTCTCATTTTAAAAACATGTTTCCGCGACTTACGAGTATTAGATCTACGTTTTTCTTGAAATAATCAGACCACATGTAAATCCATTTCAATATGGCAAAAGACGATCGTGCAAGAACGTCAACTTTATTGATTTGTGTGCTCGGTCCACATCTTTGTGAATGGAGCTTATGTCACACCACAGTGAAGCAGCCGATGGAATGAAAACATGGATTATGTTCTGCCTATGGAAATACATGCATACCAGAAATTGGACGAGGCATAGTTATAACAGCGACACATGTATAGCCTGAGGGAAAGGCCAACGTTTTTGTGCGTCTCCACCACAGAATATCTATTCGACAGAATGCACAAAGGCACTCCATTAAAGACCAAACGAACCAACTCTAACAATACCTCTTCCCCCTGCCCCCAAAACAACAGAAGAAAACAACATCATCAACAACAACAACAACAACAACAACAGCAATAACAACAATAACAAAAATAAAAACAACTTAATTAAAGAAAACAACAACCCCCCCAACAAAAACAACGACAAAATGATTCAAGCTTTGCAAAAGCCCATTCTATCCCATAGGTATTCTGTGATTTAACTAGTGCCAAAGTGAAAAAACTTGGTTGACCGTTTCTGACACTATCCCAGCCTGACGTGTCAGAGTGACGTGGCACTTGCTCTAGCCAATGAGCAGTCCCCCCTCCACTGGCAGCGTGACCCCGTTGAGGTAGGAGGCCTTGTCACTGAGCAGGAACAGGACAGAGTTCACCACATCTTCCACTTCTGTGGGGGGAAGGGGGG